ATTATCTTCTCGTGCAACTGGAAAGGAAATCAGGTGTGTTGATTACTGTAAACAAGTCTTAAAGAAATGGTCACCGAGAATAGTTGGTTGCCAAAAGACAATTGCAGCTCAAGAATTGGCCCGTGACCACACAGATACTTTGTCCCAATCTGGTAAATCTCAACACAAGTTTTTGCTGCCTTATTGACTTCTGAGAAATGACCAAGAGCACCTCAGTTTAATTCCAATGAAGGATATATGGGATACAGCTTTAAACAGAATGTTGTACGTTCTTGGTCATTGGTGTACCAGAAAATAGGATTTAGCAACAGAAGAGAATACAGTATTTGTAGCTTAGAGTTGAACAATGGAGATCTGGCCTGAAGATGTTATCTAGCTGGATAATGAAACATCTGCAAGAAAACAACCAAGTTCAGAGAACCCCAGGGACTACCACAACAGGGTTTAATTCAACATGTTTATTTGACCAAATATGTAGGAAACAATCTGCATGTAATAAAATGCCTGTCTTGGCAAGCTCTCTGTAATTTTAAAGGCTTACAGCCTCTAATTATTAATTTTCCTTCAGAATGAAAATCAGAGTGATCACATTGCTTTCTTTTAAGGGATAACTGATTTATATTTGGGGCATTACTTATTGGCAATTGTTTCGGATTACCCAGAAGTAAATTTACAATGCCCATTACACAAGTTTCCAATAAAGGTGCATATGAATGAATGTTATATGAGATTAGTCAGTGGTAAAAGGAGGGGAATATAGGCATATGAAGACACCTCATCCTTCAAAGTTTTGCAGTAGAATAATCCTTCTCAACAGTCAATCACTTATTTTGGGAGTTGGGGTTTTTAACCACGGGCAGGACAGCGAACATTTATTTTATTCATTCATTCATTTATTTGATTTGTCAATCGCTTAAACGATAATTGATATAAGTATAAACATGAGTAAGAATACAGGAAATAGGTATGAATAAATGGATAATAAATAGGACAGGGACGGTAGGCACAATGGGGCACTTATGCATCTCAGAACTGCAAAAAAAAAAACCTGCAAACCCCTTTTTTGTCCTTCTCCATAAATTGTGAAGCGGCAGACATCCTACACATTCATTTAATTTCTTAATTGGTAAAAGAAGAAAATAGCAACATCGGGGATGAACTGGGATTGTTGTTGCTTCTTCATCACCTTTGTAGAAACTATTAGATATCCCTGAAGATAAAACCCAGTTTGGACTAATTTCAATGGTATGCTTCTTCCTGTTCAGTCTACTCTACCAGATCAAAAGGTTTTACGCAAGTAGAATATTTGCCTTTTTAACGCCTGTTTCAGAAACTCATGTTTATATTTGAAAATGGGAAACTGGATTCATATTGGGATAAATAATTTTTTTTCCTTGTCACTGTGGGTAATTCTGTAATTCTTCAACATTTATCTGGAAGCTGGGGAAAAGGAATTTCAGAAGACCAAGCAAACTTACAGGCTATACCAGGAATGAATATCTGCCTGCTTGCCTGCCTGCCTGCCTCTCTCTCTCTCTCTCTTTCTCTGTGTGTGTTTGTTAGAAAAAAACTTTTTTTAAAGATAAATTCTTGCACAATAGCTCCACCTTGTGGGTAATGAAAAAAGCTACTTCTCAAAAGTTGCAAATTATTTAAACCTTCTTTAGAGGTAAGGATCCAGGAACAGCTTATAATCGACAACTTTCTCTAAAAAGAAGAAAAAGCATTTATTTTTACATATCAGTGGTGGGATTCAAATTTTTTTACTACCGGTTCTGTGGGTATAGCTTGGTGGGCGTGGCTTGGATTGGTGGGCATGGCTTGGTGGGCGTGTCAGGGGAAGGATACTGCAAAATCCCCATTCTCTCCCCACCCCACTAACCTGCTTTCCAGCTCTGTTCTCCTGTGCAGGGCAACCAAAGAAGACCCAGTCAACCAGCTGAGACTCGGGAGGCAGAGAATAGATGGGGGCTGGGCCAGTCAGAGGTGGTATTTGCTGGTTTTCCGAACTACTCAAAGTTTCCGCCACTGGTTCTCCAGAACCTGTCAGAACCTGCTGAATACCACCTCTGATTCTGATGACAATGAATCCTACACTGACTGCTACTTAGAATAAACAAGGTGAATTGAATCATGTCTGGCACCAGACTGGAGGTAACAGTGGATTGCTTTGAGTAAAAATAAAAACTTCTGAAGCATTTTTTAAATTTTATATATATATATATATATATCATTTATTGAAATATAAAGATCTTAATTTACATGTTCTTGAAGACAAAAAAATAAGAAAAGGGGCATTTGCATTACATTTTGTACCTTTAGTCACTCTTCCAGCTTTTTCTTCCCAAACATTTCCCCAAACTACCACTTGGAACACTCTTTTCCTTATCATCCCTTATCTAAAATATAAATTTTGGACATTTAAAAGTGCAACAGTTAGCATGCCTGTGGAATACATCACAGTAAAAAAAAATATTAACAAAGGCAGTGATACAGCTTGTCATAAATGTTTTGGCAGTACTCCTCAAAATTGATATAAAAATACATATATACATATTGATGTATAACATCACCTTATCTTATGTCCTTCATTATATCATAGGACTGTTTTGTATAATTGCAGACAACATTTTAACGAATAGGTCAGCTATTCTAACCCAGAAAGTTGTGTTTCACAGGCAGATTTGATTGTCATGTATGTATGGAAGAGACAGAAACTGGGCATTTATTTATTTTTTGTGAAAGCTTCTTGAATCTGAGCCATAATGTAGAAACCAGTAGCCATGATTTTCATCAGCCACTATATTCCTAAAATCCAGTGCAATCCTAAATACATCAACTAAAAATAAAATAGCTCCATTTAATTCCAGGGACCTTACCATCACATAGGATTGCAACCTGACTGCAAAAAGTAGCTCTTGGGTTGAGGTTGACTTAAGTTTTTCTTTTGAATGTGCAGTCCATTGCTGTATCTGGAGCTATAATTTTCAGAAGATTACGACAATAAGAAAGATTTTGGTCCATATCTAAATTTTGGTCCCATAAGAAGTGCTGGTCCCAAAGGCGTGACGCATGGCAAGCCAGAGAGAGCAGAGAGCAGCATATAGTACATACCAATTTGCACTGTAATGCAACAAGGAACTAAGGTCAATGTGGACATATTTATACACTGTAGCTTTCTGGCACAACAAAGAATTAGTTCACTGTTGGCTTCTTTTTTGTGTGTGTGCTTGTCCGTCTATCCTACAACCCCAGTATTTTATAGCAGTCCCCTATTCTGCAGATTAACCAGATCTGATCCTGTGCAACTTCTGAGCCCATGTAGGCCAGATGCTATTTCATAGGATGTGAGGTCAAGGGGATCTGTCCACAAAATAGCAAACTATGCATCTTATGGGGTAGGGCAAATTTTCTGAGATACAAAAGAAAGGCAAGCCTATTACCGTCAACAAGGCAAGAATATTGTAGTCCATTTAATGCTCGGTGAAACATGAAGACTTATGGAACATAAACAGCCCCAAATTATATCTTTTGCTATTTATAAAGTTTCTATCGTACTTTTCTGCCCAGTGGAATGCAAACACTTGATAAAGGTACATGCTAAATAAGATATTGGGAGTCTACATCTGGGTTCCCATCTTCAAAAAAGGAAAAAAAACAGACCCAGGAAACTACAGACCAATCATCAATACCCGGGAAGATACTGGAAAAGATAATTAAAAAAAACAGGTCTGCCAGCATCTAGAAACAAGTAAAGAAATAACTAGCAGTCAGCACAGGTATGTTAAGAAAGGATGATGCCAAACCAATCTTATTTCATTCTTCAACATAGTTACTAAATTAGTAGACCAGCAAAACACTGTGGACATAATATATTTAGATTTCAGCAAGGCATTTGACAAAGTAGACCACAGCCTACTTCTTAGTAAGCTAGAAAAAAGTGGAATAGATAGCACCACCACTAGATGGATTCGCAACTGGCTGGCAAACCGTACTCAACGAGTAGTCCTTTATGGGTCTAAGTCTACATGGAGGGAAGTAAGCAGTGGGTGCCACAAGGTTCCGTCTTAGGCCCAGTACTCTTCAATATCTTCATTAACGACTTAGATGAGGGAATAGAAGGGGAACTTACCAAATTTGCAGATGATACTAAGCTGGCAGGAATAGCTAACACCCAAGAAGATAGGCTCAAGATCCAGATGGATCTTGACAGACTAGAACACTGGGCCATATCTAACAAAATGAAATTCAATGTAGAGAAAAGTAAAATCCTACACTTAGTTAAGAAAAACCAAAAGGACACGTACAGACTGGGTGAAACCAGACCTCTGAATAGCGGTAACTGTGAAAGGGATCTTGGATTCTTAGTGGACAACCAGCTAAATAGGAGCCAGCAGTGTGCAGAAGCCAAAAAAGCTAATGCAATCCTAAGTTGTATTAACAGAGGGATACAATCAAGATCAAGGGAAGTACTAATACCACTCTATAAAGCCTTAGTAAGACCACACCTAGAGTACTGCATCCAGTTTTGGTCACCACATTATAAAAAAGATGTTGAGACTCTAGAAAAAATACAGAGAAGAGCAACCAGGATGATGAGGGGACTGGAGACTAAAACATACAATGAACGGTTACAGGAACTGGGCTTGGCTAGTCTAGTAAAGAGAAGGACCAGGGGAGATATGATAGCGGTCTTCCAATATTTGAGGGGCTGCCACAGAGAGGAGGAAGGGGTCAATCTATTTTCTAAAACACCCAAAGGCCAGACAAGGAATAATGGATGGAAACTGAACAAGGAGAGGTTTAACCTGGAAATCAGGAGAAACTTTCTGACAGTGAGTACAATCAACCAATGGAACAGAAGTTGCCCTCGGAAGTTGTGGGAGCATCATCACTTGAGACCCCGCCTGGTGGGTGGGGCCAGCCAGGAGTGGGATTTTGGGGTTCTCTGAACTGCACAGAATCTTAGCTAGGGGCTCTCCCGAACCCCTGGGAACCCCCCAGCAGCCCACCCCTGGTTCTGACTGGGGTGCTTCTCAGCCCAAGGACCAAGCACAGAGCTTAGCGTAAACACAACACTGTCCCTAAACTTGCCAACTCAGTGCGTTCTTTATATGCTGCTCTTTACTGTCATAAATTCTAGCCAGAGAAGCTATTGACATATTGCTCCAAGTAATCATCTCTCTGGGACCTTTGCAGTGCCATTAAGAGAACTTTGGGAACACAAATTCCACAGGAGATGGTCCATCAGGCCTTCACACTGGCACACAGGCATTTTCTTAATGCCATGTGTGTCTCTGCTCCATCTATTGAGTTGGAGCCTTGCAGTGAGTGTGATTGTATGCCAAATGCCTCTCACAACATGCCAAGGTTATTTGTTTGCTTGTTTGTTTTGCTTCTACCCTTGAACCAGTTCAGAAAATTGTACATGTAGACCTGCATGCAACTTGGTTCACTTTCGTATTTTATTCTTTGCAAATCTCCGGACTGGATTTTCCATAAAATTATGGAATTTCATCTTGTGTGCACCATACGCTCCCAGCCTTTACTTATAGAGACTGGTTCCAGTTTATTATTTCCATAGACCCTCTGACAAAAATCACAGCCTCAAAGCTACAATCCTATATGTACCGATCTGGAAGTAAGCTAGAACACTGATTGGGGCTTACTTTTAAGTAGATGTAAATAGGATTCCGCTATAAATCATACAATAATTTGACACTCCATCACACATATTTAAAAAAAGGCAGATTAAGAAAAGAGTAATATTAAACCTATCTCAGAATATATAAAAGAATTAATGCTACCTGATTGACATTTTACAAATATAGCGACAAACTTTTTCCACTAAATCGACAGAAGTTAGGCAGGCCTTGTTTTAAGGATATTGTATACATACAAATGCTTTACGTTTGATTTCAATGCCCATTGGAGTAATTGCAAAAAAACAATAATCGTTGCTAATTTTCATAGGAAAATTTCTTTAGAACAAAAACATTTTGGCACAAAGTAGCTACACAACCGGAAATTTCAGGCTCAGGAAAAAAGCTTTTTCAGAAAGAGAAGTTGGTGTATACAACCTAACTGGTCACACGGATACCACCCTACCCCCCAAAATCCCCTTTTAAATGTGTATCATCATTCTTCGATGCTCCAAGCAGCCTTATTAATTGGTCACCTATTTCTATTGTACAATAATTTGATTGTAAATGTATTACAATTATTAAAAATACATTTCAGATTTCTATATTCTGTAAAATCAGTTTCTGCTAGTGAAGATTTACTAGCATGTTAGCCTCTGTATTAAGAAAGCTCTTCTGTTAAGGATGGCAAATTAATATTTAGACTCCTTAGAAAACACTTTCTAATCCTACTTTTTAAACTAGGTTTAATTTACCAAAACAATCAAATAGAAGAGCTTTTTGTGTAAATATTTAAACCCTAAAATGATTTAGTTTGTTAGTAGTGAATTAAGTACTGTGTTTTAACAAAGGACAAGAAGTAGTTATAAACTATACTTAGTAATACTGAGAACAGTAGATAAAAGAACTATTCCTCTATGGTTATGAAAAAAAAATCTCATTTGATTTAATAAGCTATTGAATATATTTTGGAAATACCTGTTGTTTCCTTTTTGTTTGCATTATCTGTAAAAAATAAAACATTACTTCATCCATTTCATGCTTTTCCAAAGTGGTTTCTTTTCGATATGTACTTCATCTCAGGTGATAATCCACCAGCAGCTTATATAAACTTAAGAAAGTAAAAATGCCAAAGTCTTAAGTGGTCTTCTTTTTTTCCAAAAAAATAATAATAATAATCCTGGTAGGAACAGGTAATTACACAATCACACTGACAATGATTCACCATAGTAGAAATGTTATCCATCTGAGTTATGAATGCCCTTGAAACACAAACTGAAGTATCCATGGCCTTTTGCTTTAATTCATCAGTAAGCAAGGCTGAACTGCTACTGTGGAGTACTTCAAGGAAGAAGGATGCTTGAAAACTGGCTTTTCAAAGTCTTCCATGAAACCAAGAAAAATTCTGAGACCACTTGTTGAGGCATGAGCATTGGGAGGTCTTTATCATCTGGTTTTGGAGTGGTTTTCCTGACCGAACGGAAAGTTCACGAGTTATATCTTGATCTTCCTCTTTTCTGAGGTTGCTTTAAACATCTCAAAAGTTGCCCACTCTACTTTTCCAGAGTTACAGGAAGCTGTCCTCAACTAGTTCTGAGGAATCCATGCCAATATCATCGATGATGTCCATATCATCGATGGTTTCGTCTTCTCGCTTCACAAACGTCGAACTGCTGGATCCGGTTTCGATGGCGCTTTCTTCAGATGTCTGAGAACTGTGTAAGAACACAAAAGGGGAAAAAAAGTTAGGAAGCACACAATGCATTGCAGGAAACACTGTCTTTGCTTGTCTATCGTATTTGTATGGCCATGCATCTCACAAGAAACTGACTCTGGCCCGCATACAACACTTAAAAAACACTTGTTCGATTCTGCTGGGCCGCAGAATGACTAGAATGCAAAGAGTATGCAGTGGTTAGAATGCAATACTTCAAATTAACTCTGCCCACTGCCAGGAGTTTGATCCTGACCGACTCAAGGTTGATTGAGCCTGTTGTGGTTCGCTGGCAGCCTGTGCAGACAGCAGTGGAATCGGACAGTGGGGAAGAGCAGGGATCAGCCAGGGAGTCTGGAGCGGACTCGAACGAGGGTCCTGCGTCCAATGCAGAGGTGGGGTGCTGCCTCTGGAGCCTTTGCAATCTGGCAGCAGCGAGGCAGAGGACCCAGGGGAGCCTATTCCCAGTGCGCATGTGCACAGAGCTGCTAGAAGGCAAGAGCAGCTGAAACAAAAGGGGAGACTTGGGATGAAGGCTGGGAGGTGACTGCCCCTCCCATAAGGTATAAAGGACAGGCAAAGATGATGAAACCTTTGCAGGAAGCAAAGTCATTCGTTCGATTCAGATTCATTCTTGAAGCTGTTTGTACTTGGGTTTTTTTTTCTCTAGTTCATTGGACACTTCTGTTATTGGCAGCACTTCACAGGGAAGAAAGGTGGGTGCTTATCTCGAGGGACTGTGAGATTTGTTACTGGCTGGGAATGAAAATAATTCCCAGCGTTGCAATAAAACAAGACTTGTTTTTAAAATAAGCGTGTGCATAATTACGGTCTCAGAAGCCTTTGTCAGAACAGAGCCTTCCATCCTTCTAAGGTCAGTAAAATGAGGACCCAGATTGTTGAGGACAATATGCTGACTCTGTAAACCGTTCAATGCTGTAAAGCACTATGAAGTGGTATATAAATCTAAGTGCTTATGCCATTGCTATATTTATAGACAGAAAATACCAATAAAAATGAATTAGTTAACAGGAACTGCAGAGCTAAGTTGAATGTACTTCCTCACAGGACCAAAACTGACAGCACAATGACGTCCCTTCTACATTTACCTGTGCCTGTTCCTTTTTCCCAGTTCATCTTCGGATACAGGGTCAATATCGGGCAGTGGAATTATATAGCCACTGTCTGCACTGAGTCTTTGTTCATCGAATCCACTCTCCCTGTCCTTCAGTTTGTCCTCATTCTTGTAAGTGACACCAATATATGGATTGTCGCAGTCCACTCTCATGCGTGTGACGGCAGGATGGTCGCTCTTTAAGAAGTCCAAGTGAATTCTATCATAACTCTGAGGGGGAAAAGTTGAAAAAAGTTGCTTAGAAGTCCAGAACATTCATCCTTATATTGTCCTGTAGCTTTATCAGCCTTCCTTCCAGAGGTAGGTATTCAGCAGGTTCTGACCAGTTCTGGAGAACCGGTAGCGGACATTTTCAGTAGTTCGGAGAACCAGCAAATCCCACCTCTGACTGGCCCCGCCCCCATCTATTCTCTGCCTCCCGAGTCCCAGCTGGTTGGCTGGGTCTTCTTTCATTGCCCTGCACAGGAGAACGGAGCTGGAAAGAGGTTAGTGGGGTGGGGAGGGAACAGGGAATTTGCAGTAACCTTCCCCCAGGAGTGGGGAGGGAATGGGGATTTTGCAGTATGCTTCCCCTGCCATGTCCACCAAGCCACACCCACAGAACCGCTAGTAAAAAAAAATTGAATCCCACCACGGCTTCTTTCTCTGTAAAATGTAATGTATGCTGCAATTTCATTTTGCCATTCAAGGATCATGCTTCACACGTCGAGTGTTTTTAAAGAATTAAATAATTCCAGAAATGAGCAACATTTTTTTTTTATGAGAACAATGGTTGTGTTAACCGAAGCCCTGCAGCACAAATGGCTGTGATGGCCCTGCATAAATGGCCAGATAGCAGGGTAGTAGCAACAACTTTTTCTTTTATATATATATACTTTGCCATACATACCAAAGATGTCGTCAAACCCATTAACATTTCTATTATTGGTACAATATTTACATTTTGCTTCAAATCCTCCTAGCTGATTTTATTTCGATCTTCCCCTCTTTTTTGCAGCTACATATAATAATTGTTCCAAGTTTTGTAATATTCTGAATCCCCCTAATTTTTCATTTCTAAACTTAGTCTATCAGCTTCTACACACGCCATAATTTTCCTTATTATCTCTCCTTTTGGTAGTATATTTTGATTTTTCCAATACTCTGTGTAAACCATTCTTGCTGCAGTCAATAGGTGTATTATTAAATATGTTGTACCTTTACTGTGGCCTTCTGTCATTATTCCCAATAGGAATAATTCTGGCTTAAATTGAATGTGTTCTCCCACCATATTCTCTACCCATGCCTGTATCAATTGTCTTGTGTGGTTACATGTCCGCCACATGTGGTAGAATGTACCTGATCAATCCTTGCACTTCCAGCATTTTGGTGATAACTTTTTTGTACATTTTAGCGAGCCTTGCTGGGGGAAGATGCCACTTGCAACAACTTTTTCTCATATTGTCTAGAACTTAATTAGAGATCAAATATGGCTCAATTGACTTGGAAACCTGAAGTATTAAAACTAAAATTATAGTCCAGAATGACAATAAGGAACTAAACTAATCTATTAATTTCAACAGCTTTTCCAGGATCTGTTGTGTGATGGATCATCTGTCTTTTAGAAGTGGCACAAGCTAGACAATCCTCTATGAAGGGGGTCCTAAAATCATGTATGTTGCCCATCCAACAATAACATTTGTCAGGTTTGTCCCAGGCATCCCAACTTTTTAATCTCCATATTGCCATCATTCTCTAGAATGTGATTTTAAAACCCATAATTCAGCCCAGCGATCATAAAGAAACATATTTTTTAAAATGGTTGTGATTCATTATTGGAATGTATTTCTATGCAACAACTACAGTAGTATTCAGCCAGTAGATGGCAGTATTTACAAGTTTGGATCCATATAAGTGGAGTTTTCTGTTTCCTGTCACAGTTAAATAGTTGAGCAGTAAAGCGCATGGTGACTATACTGTTTGTTTGCTCTGTGTGGTGCTTTATATAAACAGAACTTCTAACAAAAATCCTAAAAGCAACATCCATTTTCTGAAAAGGCTTACCTTCTTGTATTCACCAGGCAGCAGACTCTCAACTATTTCACTCAAGTGGTAAAAAGAAGGTCTCTTTTCAGGTTCACTATTCCAGCATTTCATCATGATGTCATACCTGGGAACCAGATAGAAGAAAATACGTGTGATTGGGAAAGTCCATAAGTAAATTGTTGACAAGATATAAGGCTGATAAAAAAGGGGAGGAAAGCCACTCATGGTAGACCTCTCAGCTAATGACAAATGTGCACCTCAATAAAACCAACTTTGAATCAGCTATCAACTTTCATTGTCAGTAGACATTATATACCCATGATGGCTAACCTATGGCATGTGTGCCGAAAGTGGCATGCAGAGCCATCTCTGCCGGCACACGAGCCATCAGCCCAGCTCAGTTCCATTGCGCATGCGTGCACCTCCCACTAGCCAGCTGATTTTTTGGTATCTGCCACGCATGCGTGGGGGGTGGGGTGCATGCAGGAGATGCGCATGCATGCACAGGAGCGGGGGAGCATGAGGGGATAATGTATGCATGCGCATGGGGCAAGGAGAGCATGGGGGTCATGTGCGCATGCACAGGAGGGCGAGGGAGCACACGTGCATTGCATTATGGGTGCAGGCATGCGTGTGTGTGCCCTTTCGGCACGTGACAACAAAGAGGTTAGCCATCACTGTTATATACCATTTATACTTTTAAGTATCCCAGAAAATTCATGATTATTTCTTAATTTGTTACCTAATTGTTTTAATCAAACAGCATCTTTTTCTTAAGGCGCAACACTGGCTTTTTTTTAGGAGAAGCAATATTGCAGGAGGCAGGCCAACCAATAGCTAGAGCTCTGGGGCAAATTTCAGAGTTCAGCCTGGAAGCAATTTGGACTGAATGCTGAAAGGACACCAAGCTGAAAAAGTTTAATCCTATTACATGCCGGCAGAGAAAGAAGATGCGAGTGAATACATACACCTCAGAGGTAGCATGGTCTGGTTTTGTCATCCGATAGCCACTTTTTATTTTATTATAGAAGGTGGAGTCAACCATCATGCCAGGGTATGGGGTCCCACCTGCAGAACCAGAGTTGAAAGTTGACATCACGTTTTCTGGCTCAAGAAGCAACACCAACAATCTATCTTTTCAATCTTACAAAGCTGTATAAAATTTGTTTGATTCAACGTACGTCAAAAATAAGAGTCCAAGAATTTACACACATGCACATTTTAGAAAGCAGGTAAATCAAGATGAAGTAATGATCTGGTCACATCCTTCAAGCATAACTTCAACAACTGCAAGACTTCTAAACAAGCTACATTGCCTTCATAAACATGTACTTTCAGTGGTTGGGATAGCAATAGCAACAGATTTATATACCACTTCACAGCCCTCAGCCCTCAGTTTACAGCGTCAGCCTCTTGCCTCCAACAATCTTAAAACCTTATTTTACCAATCTTGGAAGGATGGAAGGCTGAAAGGCTGAGTCAATCTTGAGCTGGTCAAAATTGAACAACTGAAGTGAGCAGTGAGTTAGCCTGCAGTACTGCATTCTAACCACTACACCACCTAATCAGTCTAGGTCACGAGTGTCAAACTTGCAGCATCACGTTACTGTCATGTGACGTCTCATGACATTTCTCCTGTTTGCAGAGCTGGGGTGGGC